TTAAATAACTGCATACTTGAGTGTGTGTCTGAGGGAATTTATGTACAAATATGTCTGAATACATGAATTAAAACAGAAAAAAAAAAAGGCAAGAAATCATGCTTATCAACATAATGTGTTTGCTTGAGGCCCTAACTTCTGCTGCTTCTCCTGTTGGTGCTTTTCTATTTCTGTAAATGCATCAGGAGCATCTGCAGAATGCAGAACACAAAGAGAAGCCAGTCAGAGTCAGATCCTGGAGTACAGCAAAGCAGGGGTCTGTGGAGTGCAAATGGAGTCTGCTTTGAAAACAGCATTGGCCAACATCCTCTGCCTCCCACACAGGGAAGACCCACACAAAATTCCTTAGGTTTTGGAGTTGTTGCAATTCACTGAGTTGTTTTTCTCATGGAATAACTTCTTTAAAGCTCTGTGTGAGGCAGTTGCACTGATTGATGCAGGGGGACACTCTGTCCCCTGTTTTCAGCTGTATTTAGAAAAGATCTTGTCTTTCACAGGAGCAGCCAGACACATGCTGTAAGTGACCTTCCAGCAACAACTTGCAGTGAAATCAATAACTACAGTGAATTATTCAGTGGTATCACTGAAAAAAAAAAGGGAAGGCAGCAGTTTTTCAGAGTTTGTGCTAACTGCACAGATCAGGCCAATGATCTCCATGAGCTCTATGAGCTCCAGCACAGACCTGAACTGGCTCAGCATGGAGTTCTTGGCCCTGTGAATTACCTGGGACACTTTTCTGCTGTAGGGCAGAGTGTTTGCATGTGTCCATCTCTAATAATTCCCTACTCTTGGGGTCTGGGAAATATGTGCTGCAGAATCTGCTGCTGGACCAAAATATAGCAAAGGCAGAGAGGAAAACCTCATCCAGTGGTGTCCAGTGAAACACCTGCCCTGATTTGGGGTAAGAAAAAGCTTGATGCCTCTAACACTCCTCCTTAACTTCCTTCAACAAAGTGCTGACAAAAGAGATCTGAATTTCATCCCATGTGCATGTGAATTAACCCATATTCCTTTACATAAATGTTTGAAGTGTACACAAAATACAAGTTTTAGGGATTTTTCCTCCACAGCATGAGCAGGCATTGTGTGACAGCAAAAGGCCAGTGATTTTAAATGTTCTTGGAGATGTGTAATTTCCACTGTGTAGCTGTCATGTGTGAAACTGCTCAATGCACAAGCTGTAGAAGGGCCATAACCCAACCACCTGACAGATACTGCAGTTAAAATGGGTAATATTTTAAAGTGTTTTCACAAAGCTTAATTCCTGGAGTCTGAGATAAATTGCCACCTTCCTCTCAAGCTAAATTCCATTGGTTTTCCCACTTGCTCTTGGACATAGAAAGTACTCCTTTAATTCAAACCTGAATGCATGCTGTGGGTGGTCAAATAAGGGCACAAGCTTCTTTTCCATCTGGTTTGGTTTTTTTACCATTTTCCAGTGGGACAGAGAGAAAACAAAGAAATAAATTATGAGGGACAACAACTAAATAACACAAAAGACAGGACAGTCACTGCTTAACAAGCAGGTGCCTTTGCCTCCCCTCACCACACCCCAGGGGACAGCCAAGGACTCTCTTAAGAGCAGCCAAGGACTCTCTTAAGAGAGGCATTACCACCTCATTTAATGGTTCCTCTTTACACCTACAGGCTGCAAGCATTTGTGTTTGCTTTCATGACAGCCTGTGTGCCACCTGCAAAACAAAATATCCATCCCAAAAGCGTCTCCAGGAGGCACAGCTAAGAAATGTGACAGGTGGTGGAGCTGACAAGGAGGACACTGTCCCATGAGAGTACAAAACCACAGAGCCCCAGCAGCTTTCAGGGCACTTTTGGATGTCTCACAGCTTTGAAGAAAGCCTGACCTAATGATATTTTCACCATGGTTTGTGTCAATCTCATGATAACTTTCCCTGCCAAAACCTGCAGGCAGTGCCTATATCTATAAGAAAAAAGGAAAAACAAAACTAAAAACAATGCTATAAAATATTTCCTAGACTGGACCTGGCTTTCACCCAGGCAGGAATGAGGAGGAAGGCAAGCAGAATGAGTTCAGCTCTGTCAGCACCTGCTCAAGGAGACGTGTCTATGCCAACATCCAGCCAAGGAATGATTCAGCCAGTATAATGGCTGTGATGCCTTTTTTTGTTGGGTGAGTGCAACAGTGCAGAACAGGAGCCAAGCTGAGTGGAGCCTCGCCGTGCCCCTGGCAAGAACAGGCAAGGCAGATCCCATGTGAAGGAAGGAAAAGTCAACTTAATTTTTCCTTTCAAGTGATAGCGCGCCCTGAGCTGAGTGGTTTCTACAGGGGTATGGCCAGATATTTTCTTGCCAGGGCCACAGTTCTTGGCTTTTTCAGCTGTAACCAAAATAAAAGTGTTGCAGCATTGCAAAGGGAGGCTTTTCCTGTGAAATTTCAGATTCATTTTTGCACACATAGGAGCTCTTCGGCGGCACAGCTGTGTTGAATCATTTTTTTTGCCACCAAAAACCAGAGCATGAACGTGAATCCTTCACCACTATCCAGTGGTGAATCTAAATAGTTACAATAAAATAACTACATATTTTGGACTGTATTTAATTCCACTAGGGGCATTGTTGTTTGTTTTTTTTTTTAATGTGCATGTATCTATATCTATATATACATATATACATATATGTGTGTGTATGTTTGTATTTATGTATATAAATATGTTTTTTTATATATAAGAACAGATATGGTAATCTATTTAATTGAGAATACTGCTATTGTCTTAGCTAAATTTTATCCACTTGCTCCTCTGTGCACAGAAATACTGTAATATACAATTTTTGTGATATGTCAGATCTTGATAATTTTAAAAAAAAACTTTGCCAAGGCACTTTATTATCCTCCCAAAGTGTATTGTGGGATGACAAGGATATCTTTTGGAATACTTTTAAAGCCAAATAATTTATTGAATAAAAATGTATATGCTTTCTGTGCATATAGTGTGAAAAACTCAGTCAAGGCAGCTGCAACCTCAAAGCACAAGGTGTAAACCTTCTGTGTTTATCAGTGAAGCCTTGGAAAGCATGGGATTTTTTTTCAGGACACAAATATATTTTTAAGCTATCTATGATTTTTGAGGCCAAAAATTTCTTTTCACCTTCCCAGAAGATGGTTTGAAGAATGAAGAGTAAACAGTGGGTCAAGAAAAGGAAGACTCAGGAATATAAGTGTAGATATATGTATTGCTAAATATAAATACAAATATATCTACCTAAATGAACACTTTCTTTTTCTTCTTCCTTTTTTTAAATTTTATTTTAACTCTGGGGGGGAATGGTAATGCCAATTTATAAAGTTCTTCATAGCCTCAGAATAAATTAGCAGTGTTAAAACAGAGCACAGAATTTAGAGCGTGACTATTGTTCACAGTGAATTCTAATGCACCCAGATTTAATGTGAACTCCTGTGTCACTCTGTGCAGAACACAAACCCCAAAACAAAAAACCTTCCAGGCTCCAAACCTGTTGTGGGCCTCTTTATGCAGTTGATGTTTTTTGCTTCCTTCCCGTCTTTCAAGCACCACAGCCCTCAGGCTAAGCTGGCACGTGAAACTTCTCCATCACACCAAAGTAAAACCAGTTTATCATGAACCAGATAAAAACACACACAGTGGTCCCTTGCAGCTGTAGGAATTTTGCCAGTGCTGCTCCTTGTAGGAGCTTAAAGATGTCCATCAACTGAGCTGTATCTTTTGGCCAGTTTTTGCATGAACTTTTTTCTTTTTTTTCTTTAACACAGCAAAGAAAAACGTTATGCACAAGGCTTAGAAAGCCCAAAAAGATTACTGAGGATTGTTGAGAGTATTTGTATTGCTTTACACCTAAACTGGAACCTCCCCGGGGTGAACAGATGTAGAGCAGTTTAGGAACCCTCGTAATTTCAAGCAGGGGTCTTGCTAACAGCCTGGTTTGGGGAATATCAAGTGCTCTATGGAGTACTTGGTATGGCCTCTCATGAAGATTTTTCAGCCTGCAGCATGCTTCAAATAAACAGATGAAAATTTTTCAGGCATTATCATCACAGAGTTTGTCCGGGAAAACACCAGTCTACAGCACAGGCCTGCCTATATATTGTGTCTCTTTTTCTTGGCAGCTGGAATTTGATAAACTGTGCTTTCTTCTTGACCCTGTTACTGACACAGAGTGCAATTTCAAGTCAAGTGCTTAGCATTTCATTTCTGCAGGCTGCAAGCCAATCTTTTCAGCCCAGTGTTTGGGGGTGGGTTGTGTTAGGGTCTCAGGAGGATGCTCAGCTCTTGAATACCATCACATGACCCATGAAATTTACGGCGTATTTGTGTGGTTTTTAAGCTGTGTGTTACAAAATCCTGAGGAACAAGAGGACCAGTGTCATTTTATCACCTGCAGCTAAGGTTTTCTGCCGTGTTTCTATTCTTTTATTTGTGGATGGGGCTCCCCCCGGATTCCACACCACCTGGTTCTGTGTGCCTACATCCACTTTGCAAAAATTTCAGTTGGACCAAACTTTCTCTGACACCAGCTCGAGCTCAGCAAGTGGATTAGGGCTGTGCCAGTCTGTGAAGCATGTTTTCATTTATCACTTTTTCCTGGATTTTCCTGTTTTTAGAAGGTTTAAAATCTGCCACAGCTGTAATGTCTTGGAAGCAAGAGAGGAATTTCAGAGGCAGAGCTAATATGATGCTCAAAAATGTCATGCAGTTCCTCAAGGCTCAAACCATAGTACAACTGCTTTTATCCTGGATCCCTCTTCCATTCCCCAGCTTCCCCTAGCATAAAAACTTTGTTTATTCACATCCTTAATGTTTGGGTTTATTTCACTTGCTTTGAACCCATTTAGCCACTGTCATTCATGATTTACCTTGGGACGTATTTTTTGCTTGAGAAGCTAAAAAACAAAATAATTCATGTCTGCTGTCAGGAATACAACCATGGACAGAATTTTAATAAGTTGACAAAAAGTCTTTTTTCACACGGGAGGAATTGTGCCTTACCTCATGCTCATCCCTACTCCATCCACATGTTTCTGTTGGGAGAAACAAGTTACAGTTAGTGTAAGTAAATACAGGAAAAATCATCACCAGTATTTTGAAGTTTACATCAACACTAATCGTTTTTGTTCTGTCTCGACACAAAATATGCACTTAACAGTTATTGTAATGTATGCTGGGGGGAAAGGGAAGGGAAAGGAAGGGGACAGATTACAATGAAAATTTCCCCCCTCCATGCGTCCCTTTGACGCTCTCCATCAGGTCTCCTCAGTGCTGAGGGTTCCCCTGAGAACATCGAGTTCAGCCACTGACAGACACCTGGGCCAGGGACAGCACCCAGGGACCTGCCCTGCCTGGGGGAACCTGGACACAGCCTCGTGCAGCAGACTCTGCATCTCTTGCATGGCTTTGCATCCCGTGCAGTGCTGTGCTGCAACGCCTCAGCAATGAGCCTGGGGAGAGCTCTGGGAACCTTTGGAGAGATTGTGATCCTTCCTCACTGCCTCTGCTTCTTCTTGTTGTGGCAGCTCTTCTTCTTGCCCTCACTTTTCTTCTACTCCTTGTTTTTCATTCTATTCCTCCTTCTCCTTCTCCTTCTCCTTCTCCTTCTCCTTCTCCTTCTCCTTCTCCTCCTCCTCCTTCTCCTTCTCCTACATCTCTTGAAGCTTGCTCTTATTCTTTTGATTTGGCTTTTCCTTTATTCTACTATGTTCTTGACATTTTTTAATATTCTTATTTTCATTCTCATTCCTTATTCACATTCCTCCTTTTTCCTCTTCGGCTTCTTCTTCTTTCACTTATTCCTAAGCTTTTCTTATGCTTTTTCTTATTTCTTTCCTTATTTCTACTCTGATTCTAATTATTTTCCTATTCTTATTCTTATTTTTCCATGTTTTTAGTACTACTACTTCTTCATCTACTTCAGCTTCTACATCTTCTTCCTAATATTCCTATTCTTATTTTTTATCATTTTTTGGTTTCTGAAGGGTCTCATGCAGGTTTTAGTGTGGAGGTTTGGGGTTTTTTTTCTTTCCTACTACTACTTCCTAAACACAACTTTCTTTTCTTTTGTTAGAATTGTGATTGTCACAGTCCAGCGGGGTGCGGTTGTATCCTGGCAGTAATAGGTCCTGTCGGCGCCCATTCCTCATGGCCACAGGATCAGCATGGAATCCTTCCTGGAGGAGAGGAAATGGCCTTGGAGTCCTGCAGGGAGGAGCTGGAGCCGGTGTCCCTGCAAAGGGCCGAGAGCCGTGTGGCTGCGGCCCTCGGGGATCCGGTGCAGGGGTGCTGCCGGCGGTGCCAGGCTGCCGCCGGGAGCCGATGACTTTC